GCCAACCCTTGATCTCTTGACCCGACTGTTGACTCAACTCTTGACTCAACTCTTGACCCTCCCTTGACCCCTTGACCCAACCCTTGACCCCTTGACCCAACCCTTGACCTCTTGACCCAACCCATGACCTCTTGGCCCAACTATTGATCCCTTGACCCAACCCTTGACCTCTTGACCCGACCCTTGACCCAACGCTTGACCCCTTGACCCCTTGACCCTCCCTTGACCCTCCCTTGACCCCTTGACCCAACCATTGACCCCTTGACCCAACCGTTGATTTCTTTCACCCAACCATTGATCTCTTGACCCAACCCTTGACCTCTTGACCCTCCCTAGACCCCTTGACCCTCCCTTGACCCCTTGACCCAACCCTTGACCCAACCTTTGACCCCTTGACCCAACCCTTGACCCCTTGACCCAATCATTGACCCCTTGACCCTCCCTTGACCCCTTGACCCAACCCTTGACCCAACTCTTGATCCCTTTGACCCAACCATTGATTCCTTGACCCAACCATTGATTCCTTGACCCAACTATTGACCCCTTGACCCAACCCTTGACCCCTTGACCCAACCGTTGACCCCTTGACCCAACCCTTGACCCCTTGACCCAATCATTGACCCCTTGACCCAACCCTTGACCTTTTGACCCAACCCTTGATCTCTTGACCCAACCATTGACCCCTTGACCCTCCCTTGACCCTTTGACCCAACCCTTGACCCCTTGACACAACCATTGACTCCTTGACCCAACCGTTGACTCAACTCTTGACCCAACCGTTGACCTCTTGACCCAACCGTTGACTCAACTCTTGACTCAACTCTTGACCCTCCCTTGACCCTTTGACCCAACCCTTGACCCCTTGATCCAACCCTTGATCTCTTGACCCAACCGTTGATCTCTTGACCCGACCCTTGACCTCTTGACCCTTCCGTTGACTCAACTCTTGACTTAACTCTTGATCCAACCCTTGACCTCTTGACCCAACCCTTGACCCCTTGATCCAATCATTGACCCCTTGACCCAACCATTGATGTCTTGACCCAACCATTGACCCAACCCTTGACCTCTGGACCCAACCGTTGACCTCTTGACCCAACTCTAGACCCAACCCTTGACCCAACCCTTGACCTCTTGACCCAACCATTGACCCAACCCTTGACCTCTTGACCCAACCGTTGACCTCTTGACCCAACCCTTGACCCAACCCTTGACCCAACCCTTGACCTCTTGACCCAACCCTTGACTCCTTGGCCCTCCCTTGACCCCTTGACCCTCCCTTGACCTCTTGACCCAACCGTTGACCTTTTGGCCCAACCATTGACCTCTTGACCCGACCATTGATCTCTTGACCCAACCCTTGACCTCTTCACCCTCCCTTGACCCCTTGACCCTCCCTTGACCCCTTGTCCCAATCATTGACCTCTTGACCCAACCCTTGACCCAACCATTGACCTCTTGACCCAACTTTTGACCAACCCTTGACCCAACCCTTGAGTCAACCCTTGACTAAACCCTTGACCTCCTGACCCAACCCTTGACCCCTTGACCCAACCCTTGACCTCTTGACTCAATCATTGACCCCTTGACCCAACCCTTGATCTCTTGACCCAACCATTGACTCAACTCTTGACTCAACTCTTGACCCTCCCTTGACCCCTTGACCCAACCCTTGACCCCTTGACCCAATCATTGACCCCTTGACCCAACCCTTGACCCCTTGACCCAACCCTTGACCCCTTGACCCAACCCTTGACCCTTTGACCCAACCCTTGACCCCTTGACCCAACCGTTGACCTCTTGACCCAACCCTTGACCTCTTGACCCTCCCTAGACCCCTTGACCCTCCCTTGACCCCTTGACCCAACTCTTGACCCAACCCTTGACCTCTTGACCCAACCCTTGACCTCTTGACCCAACCGTTGACCTCTTGACCCAACCCATGACCTCTTGACCCAACTCTTGATCCCTTGACCCAACCCTTGACCTCTTGACCCAACCCATGACCTCTTGGCCCAACTATTGATCCCTTGACCCAACCCTTGACCTCTTGACCCAACCCATGACCTCTTGGCCCAACTATTGATCCCTTGACC